GCGTGTGAGACGTGTGAGATGTGTGTGAGACAACGTGAGACGCGTGTGAGATGTGTGTGAGACGCGTGTGACAATGTGAGACGCGTGCGAGACGCGTGTGAGACGTGTGAGATGTGTGTGAGACAACGTGAGACGCGTGTGAGACGCGTGTGACAACATGAGACGCGTGCGAGACGCGTGCGAGACGCGTGTGAGAAGTGTGTGAGATGCGTGTGAGATGCGTGTGACAACGTGAGATGCGTGTGAGATGTGTGTGAGACGCGTGTGACAACGTGAGACGCATGTGAGACACGTGTGAGACGCGTGTGACAACGTGATACGTGTCTGAGATGTGTGTGAGACGCGTGTGACAACGTGAGATGTGTGAGACGCGTGTGACAACGTGAGATGTGTGAGACGCGTGTGACAACGCGAGACGCGTGTGAGATGTGTGTGAGACGCATGTGACAACGTAAGACGCGTGTGAGATGTGTGTGAGATGCGTGTGACAACGTGAGATGTGTGTGAGATGTGTGTGAGACGCGTGTGACAACGTGATACGCGTGTGAGATGTGTGTGAGATGCATGTGACAACGTAAGACGCGTGTGAGATGTGTGTGAGATGCGTGTGACAACGTGAGACGCGTGTGAGATGTGTGTGAGACGCGTGTGACAACGTGATACGCGTGTGAGATGTGTGTGAGACGCGTGTGACAACGTGAAACGTGTGTGAGACGCGTGTGACAACGCGAGACGCGTGTGAGATGCGTGTGAAACGTGTGCGAGACAACGTGAGATGCGTGTGAAACGTGTGCGAGACAACGTGAGATGTGTGTGAGACGACGCAAGACGTGTGTGAGACAACGTGAGACGTGTGTGCGACGACGTGAGACGCGTGTGAGACAACGCGAGACGTGTGTGAGACGTGAGACGTGTGTGAGACAACGCAAGACGTGTGTGAGACGTGAGACATGTGTGAGACAATGTGAGACGTGTGTGAGACAACGTGAGACGCGTGTGAGACAACGTGAGACGCGTGTGAGACAACGTGAGACGTGTGTGAGACAACGTGAGACGACGTGAGACGTGTGTGAGACGACGTGAGACGTGTGTGCGACGATGTGAGACGTGTGTGAGACAACGTGAGACGTGTGTGAGACGTGTGTGAGACGTGTGTGCGA